TCAAGGTGACATTATTAATTTTAATTGTACTTCAAGTTTCATGAAATAAACAAGTTCTACGTACTAACATATCTTCACTGGTTTTAAAAATAAACTGTTTCCATGATACTAACATCTCTTCAAATGAGAAGGAATGAGCTACTGGAGAATCCATGTCATTAAATAATGTTTGAAACATTGAAATTCACTGCTCATTGTTCATTTAGTTGATGTGACAATGTCAAGTTATTAAATGTCTGAAAGACGTAAAAACCCTTTATTCTTTATGGTTCACTTCTAATCATCGTGATGACTAACAATTATAGACGACATTTGAGCGACACCAGACTGATCTTGAGAGTGTGCTCCTAATCACCAGGAACAAATGAGGGTTCTAAACCTGTGTGATGAATTGGAATTATGATTTACAGTTTATGATTATGATTAAGAATTAGATTTAAGGTTTTCATCGCGAACTGACATCAGCTATAATGTCAAAATTAAGAAAGATTAGTTCAGCGAAGCTGTAGATTTTCTCGATCATATGTTTAAAACGTAATACACGATCAAAGTATCTTATTGATTTCCTCTTCATAAAATTCAATTAGTAACATCCGGCGTAACCGAATGCCAACAAAGTTACATATATTAAACTGAAAATTGTATTCACGAGAAACTTTTTGAAAGAATGATGCCATTGTGATCGCTATCAAAGGTCGAGATCATTTGAGAGTGGTTTAGTTGGATATGAAAATATTTTATTACGTAAGTTTGATGAGAACAAACACTGAGTGAAGTTACTTGAACTTTGATAAACTGACCATATACTTTTTGCAAACAATGATGATTAGTGGCCAGCAGTGGAATCGAGGTCACGCGTTTCGCCAAATAATACCAAGTGAATTCAGATTCACCCGGTTGAACAAGCAAGTGGCTGTCAGGACACAATAGTTGAGTGGGTAACGTGGGGAGTTTGAAATGAATGGTACTGGGTTCGAGTCCCAGAGCGAACATCAACTCTGTGATGCAGGTAAATCCAGCTGACGAGTCAAAAATGGGACGAAACGCGCGTCGTGGATTCCACTGCTAGCTAATTCCCATCACTGCTTACAAAAATCTTGTGAATTAAGGCAAGATCGAGGCATACGCACAGTATGCCCGACCATTGTTGCTACCTTGACGAGCTTGCCAATCGTGATGAAGCAACCGAGCTATACTGGCTGGAACAACCGTTCCTCAAGGTCCTACCATGTCAGACAGATCGGTTGAAGAGCGATAAGACTAAAAACAACAAACCCAAGGTCCGAAGGCGAAGTCGTACTGCTGACTGTACAGAGGTGTGACAGCAGTAAGGTGTTTCCTTCAGACAACCAGCATGACAGCGATGCTGCCTTCCCACAAGGAGGGGTGGGGTTAGAAAAGATCGACCCTAAAAATCCACACCTCGCCTTATCCCATGGATATCCGTCTCCGGCTGTAAGGTCCGAAGAGGTACAGAGCTAACACAAAAATTACTCATAAAAAAGTCGTGTGTGACCGACCTCAAGCAGTTGACCCTTGGGCACTGCGATCACGCTCTAAGGTCACTATGACCACCTCTAATCCAATTCCCTTTTCAGATACCTCCAGAACAACCCTTCCACGGTGTGGGCAACCGGGAAGTGATAACCGCCCTCATACCTCTAACAGCACTCAAGACCACTGTATTCATAATCAACCTCCCTTTACTGTACAGTATGCACATATGCCAATAACAGACTGATCAATTGCAGTCTTGAACCTCAATGAGTAGATACAAGCCAAAAATACCGAGTGAATTTGACCACATACTTGCTGATTAATAGATAGGTGGATAGATAGATGGATGTGTGAATAGACTGGTAATGTCGATGACTGAAATGAGTTGTATGACTGTTGTTAAATGCCAACCTATATTTTCCACTACGTTATATTCGATTACGACACGACTATCAATGAAGATTTTATGGATTTGTGATACACGTGATGAGTAACTAACTTTTACTTTCCACTTGGTTGTAACGTGTGTTTTGTCAGTCACTTGTGAGTGTTGAGGGCTCATTTCGAGCGATGGTTTAATGGAAACTAACTATCAAACTTTCTGTTTAATTCTCACTTAAAATAATTTTCAGTTTTTGAATACTTATGGTCTCTGGAGGAAATCTAGATGGTTTGTTTGCTGCTCCGAAGAATAATTTGAAGCACGAACTAAAATTTATAATAAAATTTCAGAGAATATTTGTTCAACTGAGGAGACAAAGTGTTTTTTACCGGATGATCTAATTAGTGATGGCAATCACACTCAGCAACGCCCTCTATGGTAAAACATAGAACATTGATACCTTCGGTTAGAAGCACTGAACACTTATCATTCTCGCTCTCGACTCACTTACTGAAAGTCTTCTCATCAAGACACACGCTAGTTATATGTTGACCGTTTAAACAATAAACATGTTTACTGACTTCCAACTTATATTCGAGCCCGACCAGAAGATTCGCTTTTATTGTTTATGTTTGCCATGGACCTTTCAACATCTAGACATCTTGGAGAGATTTGGTAACATCCTGAATATTTGGTTATGTTGTTTTGAACAATTTATGCGAAGTTATGTAAACTTATATTGACTAGAAATTTCTGAGGATCATTCAACTCGATATGTTTGACCTTAATTATAAAATGAAAAGGGGTTTAAACATTTATCAAATCACATGTGCATGGATTAGTTGGAGTTAGACATTAACACTGTTGGATATTGGCCGCCTCAGTGGTTTAGAGGTTGAGCGTTCGGGTACGAGACTGATAGATCATAAGTTCGAATCTCATGAGGCGGGGTCGTGAATGATCACTGCTGAGTGGTCCCACAATAGGACGAAAAGATCGTCCAGTGTTCCCAGATTTTCCATGGTGATCTAGCTTTAATTGACTCATGGATTCAGCTAGTAAAGATATTGATAAATTTTGTTTAATGAATGTGTGATTCGATTCTCTTGTTGCTTTCACTAACTAGGTAGAAAACCAGGTTCATCGATAGCGGAACATATAATTGAAACGGGGCACAAAATTGACATTAATACAGCTTTTAGAATGTTGTATAGAAATTGTCAAGGACAAATTCTTAAGTTTATTGAAGCCTTGTTTATTCGTAAATTTAAACCCACCTTATGTGTACAAAAACAATTTATCGTAACCTTGAATTTACCTTGGTAACCCTTAAGGCATTCTATGGCTTAGGATAACGTGACAATTTCTTATTCTTTCTCTCCCCTTTGTTATTTGACTTGAATTTTCATTTAATTGACCTTTATTAATTTTCATATTAAAAATGCACTGAAAAGTATATGTCCGTGACCAGATTGTTCGAAATGTATAGTGCAATTACATCACATTTTTCCGATAAACTCCGTCTTCTCATTGTTCTATCGAAATTTATAAAAAGGACTAATTGCTTTAAATATAAGGATCAATATATTGTAATTTCTACTGACGACCCATGTAAGCTGACTCATGGTCTAGAAACTAAAGGTTCACGCACGAGACCGAAGTCCCTGTTTTCCACTTTTTAATGCGGGTTGTGGATACACATTGTTGATCAGACCCATATCAGATAGAACCTGCGATCTAATGTCACTAGGTTCTCCATGGAGGTCTAGCTAAGAATGGTTCCTAATTTAAACTGATAATGTGACAAATTTTATCAAGGGTGCATTGATTAGACAGGAAACATTGAACTCTGTTGGTACTTCAAATAAATTTATACATCAGATGTGATGCGACGTCTAATTGGCTGCTGCGAGTATAATAGGTTAGTTGTGAAAAGTGAACGGTAGAATAGATATGGCTCAAATAATATTCTACAGACTTTCTACACTTGACATCCAGCATTACAGTTCACACAACTTCTTAATAAGGAGATGGCAAACAAACCTTATGCAACTGCGGGACGATTCGTTTACAGAAAGCTTTGATGAAGTGACCGCCCAGCAAGCTTCCACAGCTGGGCTTTTGCTAGAAAGAAGACAAACTTAATTATACCGTCCGTAACATCAATTCAGTGAACCCTCAGTCTTGATTTCATAAACGGAGAGTAAGTCCTTTAGAAAAACGTTCTTATCGAACATGCATAATCAGCGAGATTTGTTGACAACAATAAGAAGCTCAATCTGCAAAAACAATCAGTTGCCTATCCTATGCTCACTCTTCTATTCAGCCGCACTTGTACACATATTTTGTAATTTACAAGCCATTCGTTGAACTAAAATTGTGGTTGTCGTCCAGTTGACCCATGTTAGTCAACAATCCAAAGAAAAATCACTCTCATCTTGCATGGATATTTATAAATTCATCTTCTCCTACGGAGGCTGATACATATGTAGCTCAATTGACATTTTATATCGGAGAGAGAGAGTTCAGGTTCATTGCTCATCCTACTTGGTCACGTACACTGATCAGTAATGGCTGTACGAGCACGTGTGGAGAGTAAGAGTATGTATTATGAGCCATGTTAGTAGATGTAGACTACTTGGTTGCGGTCCGCGTAACTATCGTAACCAATGTTTGGAGACTCACAATGGCATAGGTGTACACTTACATGCAATCTTCCTTTTATATATTACCACCATTAAAGCAACTACTTCTGTGAATTTGGTGTTCATCTTGTTGTGCTAATAAGGTATGGTAACTTGGACCAGTGTATATATATGCCTGATCCTACGCTGTAGCTGACTGACTGACTGATTTATTATGAAATGAAGAATTTCCACGATGTGGAAATAATTTTGTTGTTTCATCTGAATAGATCCTAACGAATGATAGACTAAAAAGAATAGAAAGTATGAAAGTCATTAAGTGAATCGTTTAATCTAATTATATTGCCATAAATATCAACAACTAACAACAATGGTATTATTTGCATAAAATTATATTTCAACTGTTCATTCAAATGTTAATGAATAATCGTTTGAATAATGACAATGATAGTTTGTCAAATCATGTTCAACTTGTGTTATTTTCTAACAATTTCAATATCAACGAGTACATGTTTATTCCCTACATCAGTTGGCAAGTATAAAGACAGTATATTTCCCTTCATTTCAGTAATTAAATTGTTTGGTTTTATGTTCATTGAAAATCCATTTGGATAATGTACAGATAATGGTATGTAAATTTCTGCAATTAAAATCTGTTTCTTACTATACTGATTACTCGACTGGTTTGTAATGAAGGAGAAACTAAATTTTCCGGTTTTATGATTGAATCGTTGTTTGTTAAATATCCCATTTGTTGACTGGGGATAAGGACGAATGAAAGATTCCACCTATAGGTGTGGGAGAAAAAGGAGAAAAAGATTAACAATGAGAAATTATACATTGGATCATACACATTTCGAGTCATTTGAACTATTCATGCATGTACAAATCGGTCATCACATTCATTGAGTTTCAAACCAGCATTATATAAGCTTGTTGGGTTTTATAGTAGTTACTGAACTGTCGAAACTGCAAATCCAATCAAAATGATTGTGGTGGCTCATACACAATGCATTAGCCTACAGTGAACGACTAAGTGACACTTTCTGACCAATTCGATTGAGCTAATATAGCACAGCTCCTATAACATTAGTATTTCAGTTCCCAAACATTTGCTATTCTTCTGGATAAAAGTTTGACTTTATTCGAGGTGTAAACTTCTGGATTCATCAGTACCATTCAACAAATTCTCTAAATTACCTCAAATTCGAACAAAAATACTATTGAACACTTAAGTTCAAAATTTTATTACCTCACTTTTAATAGGATTTCCTACTTCATCTAAAAAGTTTCCATCCCAATATGTCCATGATTCAAAATGTTTATCAGCTTCATCCAATACAGCATTACATTCCAATGTGTTTACACTACGTGGATTTCCATCATCTCCACACAAACCGAATTCAGTTAAAAATCTACCACCTCCAGTTGTTTTTGTTGCTTTAATTGCATTGGATATCACAATTGGTAAGAGAAACTAAATGGAATTTGAAAAGCAAATAGCAATGTACATAATCAATGTTTTCAACCATACATAATGAACATTGTTCCATCCGAAAAAAAATTAGATGGTTTCTTTGTTATTTAATCAAATGGTGATAAGATAGTGAATGATTTAGAGGCATATTAAGTTATTGATCGAGATCATGAACCTGTTGATGTTAGACCACCATTGAAAACCTGGAAGCACTGGACGGCCATTTCGTTCTATTGTGGGACTCCTCAGCAGTGCTCATCCATGATCCGGCTTGTGGGATTCGAACTCGGGCCCTTCAGTCTCGCGCACGAGCGTTTAACCATGTACTCACTAGTGACTGGCTTCGTGAGGGAATTCTCGAGTTCATGTGAGAAGCTGTGCCAGTGGAATTAATCCGTGTGTGGTGGAGTCAGGTATCTACCTCAGTACAATAGAAGATGGTCGCGTAATGTTGTGGATTGGTTGAGGTTAGACATTAACACCGTTGAGTGCCGGCAAGTTCAGTGGTCTAGAGGCTAAGCGTTCGGGCGTGAGAATGAAGGCCCTGGGCTGGAATCCCTCAAGCGGGATCGTGGATGCGACCTGATGAGGAGTCCCACAATAGGATGAAACAGCTGTCCAGTGCTTTCAGGTTTTCAGTGGTGGTCTAAAATCAATCGGTTCATGATCTCAATCAAAAGCATAATTTTTTATTGATAGTACAGGGTCAGTGAATAAGTTGCTGTTTCACTAGGATGAATGAGTCAAAGTAAAAAATATAACGGTGACGAAGAGAAAATTAACTAAAACTGAAATGAAAACAGTATTTCACACAACCATAAAGTATGAGAAGTAGATCGTATTGGATTCTGACCTTGAATGTCTTCTTGAATAACGTTAGACACTAATTTCTGTTTTCCAAGAGACCATTCCCTGTATATCAATGTTCGTTTCGCAATTCAAACCTGCACCTTGATATTAATAGCTTTATTGTTAAAGTCTATATTTTCTCGATGGTAGTATATGTGATCGATTTGTTATTTACGACAATGGTGAAATAACTGATTCGTGGTTTCGATCCTAATTGCTTGTCCAGTCAAGTTCAAATTATGGTGTTAACTATAAAATTTAAAAATCTTGACAAACACATATACTGGAGACAGTCAGTCTCTGATAACATGTGTGCTTCTTTAAAGGATGATTCGGTTTAGCCTGGATTTATTAGTATCGTGTAAACCAGCTCCAGTATATACATTATTCAAAGGGGTGAAGGTGCATGTATCTGATTATTTCATAAACAGAGACGAAACCATATTTAGATTGAAACGCTAGTCACTGTCTAAGATATGGAGAAAACTGTGTTACTTTTAAGTGACTTCACTGAGTTCTTTCCTCCCGAATGTAACAGATATGCCAACACGAGTAAATATCTTGTTAAACTGTTATAGCTATCTGGGACTGGGTAGTCAACACTTGAATACATAAAACATGTAAGTGGTATAATGAATGAAAGCACCAATCAACTCCCATCTTATATGTTTAATGAATTTAGAAAATAAGTTAACTTAGTCTCATTTAAAAAGGTATTCTGTCTGTCAATTTATGAGCGATATCAGGGGATTTACACAAATAGTTCTGAATTATAAATTAACCTCAATATAAAAATGAAGAGTTAAAGGAACAGTGAAATAAGAATTTCATCTTTGCAGAAGAATTTATGATTGTAGAATAATATGTGCCGGTAATATCTCATCAGATTAGAGAATGAGTCTAATCTTCAATGACATAGTACTTACTACCTATTTCATTAAGCCTATATTTAATTATTCTGATCAACTAAAGTTATCTGAACAATATGATATACTATATCAATAATAATATGAACAACAGTTTAACAGATAATGTTGGAAAACTAAGGGTTTAAAAGAATTTGAAATTTACCGAATCACATATAACTTTCTTCCAAAAAGGCATTGTAGAATTCGGATAATCAGTCTGTAATACCCAACAATAATAATGATATGACAAAACACTTTTATTCTGTGCTGATTTATCATGATTAGCCCAGGAACACGTCGAAATCCAGTTCCTAACCATCCTGAGGGGCTTAGAGGAGTAAATATCCCATATGTAACTGGTTCATAGAATATTAATGTTGAATTGTCATATTTACGTATTCTCTCAACAAGATAATCGTAAACTGGTAGTAGATTATATCGACCAGCATAACCTAAAACCAGAAAATCCATCATACGAACATGAAAGAATAAGTTTTCTTCAAATTAAAAAGTATAGTACACAATAAATGATCCAAATTCGTTTTTCAAATGAATCTAATATATCTCACTGATTATCAATAGCAACCTAAATAAGTTTCTGTTTTAAATGATATTTGGTTGATCGAAAGACAAAAGTCACGAAATGGTAATGATAGCCTATTAAGAAGAGTACAATTGGTCAGTCAGTAACAACGTAGAACTTCGTACATTGTTACTGGAACACAACTGGAACTTCAATTATTTACAAATGTAGTGTAAAATAAAAGTTATGAGTGTGAAGGGAATCTCTGCGGTTGCACAAAGTGTCGTGAATCATATAGATTAGTCCATAACGTAAATGTTTAAACAGTCCAATCGATGAAGTTGTTCAAAACTCAAGTTGTCATCAAGGTGACATTATTAATTTTAATTGTACTTCAAGTTTCATGAAATAAACAAGTTCTACGTACTAACATATCTTCACTGGTTTTAAAAATAAACTGTTTCCATGATACTAACATCTCTTCAAATGAGAAGGAATGAGCTACTGGAGAATCCATGTCATTAAATAATGTTTGAAACATTGAAATTCACTGCTCATTGTTCATTTAGTTGATGTGACACTGTCATGCTTTTGAATGTCTGAAAGACGTTAAATCATTTATTCAATATCATCAGTTTCTTTTTATCATGGTGACTAGCAATTATAGAGATGACCGTTATACAATGGAAGTTTTTCGGATGATCAGAAAATTGGGAATTACTGAAGTGAGCATGGGTCAAGTAGTATCGTATGTCATATCATTAGTCACTTGAAAGATTTTAAGAGGAGACGGTAAGTATTTTACTATATTTAGTTTATAATAAATTATTAACCATCAATCGATATCAGAGGTGGTGGTCCAAATGTAATTTATTTTGTTGCACTTAACCGAAAATCACTATGACACATATATTAGAAGTCAATACACTTACGCCTCATGATCTCAATTATTCAAATTACTAGTCTCCACAAAACCCCTTCTCATACTAATCAACATATGCTCACTAGTGACTGGCTAGTGAGAGGCAGTGACTAATGGAGTCCAGCCAGGTCTGTTATGAGATAGTAACTCACTGATGACAATGGTAAATGTGTCGTTCAATTTCGTGGATTGCTTGAAGCTAGACATTAACATCTCCGGATGCTGGCACAGTGGTCTAATGATCAATCACTAGGTTTGAATCCCGCGAGGCGGAATCGTGGATGTACACTGCTGAGGAGTCCAGGTTTTCCATGGTGGTCTAGCTTCAATTGACCCATGATCTAAACTACTGAAATTACTACGTCTCCACAAAAGCCCTTCTGATACAAATCTATTGACTTGAAATCTCAAAGTAGTGTTAAATTTTCGCACAAGATAGATTTAGTAAATACAACTTTACCTGAAAACCCGCGTAATGGATTAGAATAAAAGTTTCCAGGTGGGGGTTCATTAATCAAATCATAACCAAGTACATTTGACTTTTTACCAAATTGTTTAGCTACGATTTCCCAAAAATCACCCCAGTGATTCCAGGCACCTGATACATTCTCATATAACTGTTGAGCTGCATTAGTACACTCGTAAGTTAAATAATATGCTCCGTCCCATTCTGGCAACTTTTTATACGGCCAAGGCTCTTCTAAAAAGTGTGGTGGTCTTTTAAACTGATCAATTAACCAAAGTGGTATACCATCATAAGTACCATATCGGCTAGATAATCCATCTTGATGCATATCTAATATCACATAAATTCCATGATCAGCATATAAATCAATCAGCTTTTCAATTTGATTTAAATATGTCGTGTTCACTATTGATATATTTGGCATTACTCCACTCCACATAATACCTAATCGAACAACATTCAAACCCCAATTCTGAAACATTTGTATTTGTGTGATATTGAAGGTATTTTCTTCATACCATGGAAAAGATTTTCTCACGTTGTTAAACCCTCTAAATAATCTAATGAATCCACGATGATCTGTGAACATTCCATGTTGATTCAGATGAATTTTACTGAGAGGAATATGTTCTGTACAAACTGATGGCCAGAAGAATATGAAAAAAATTGTGAACCACATGGAAAAATCCATGTTTGTAGTTTCAGTTACGAGATATACTACTGTGATAAATACTAGTGATATATATATATATATATATATATATATATATATATATATATATATATATATATATAACCTACACACACTTTGATCACACCATTTGTGACTATAAACTGGACGATTAAGGGTGATCACGCCAAATTGATAACCTTGTATAATAATATAGTTTAGTAATTTGATACGAGATGTGCTAGATATATCAAAAGTTGAATGTTATTTGACGATCAATGAGTATACCATTAGCTATGTGTGTAATTCGTTTATTAATTCATCAATAAATATTTACAATCAGTAGTATACTGTATATTAGTAATGTCAGGATACATTAAGTAAAGCGAAATTGTCTCCAAATTAGGTCATTCAAAACTATTTATTATTGTTACTATGTTATATCAGTAGAAACAGAATTTTGTGAACAATAAACGTGACATTTAAATGTAGGAGGAGGGTTGGATATGGGGTTAGCGACCCCATAGCGTAGAGAACTAACTCGCTAAAATAAAGCTAACCATAAAAAATAATTCTAAACGAGTGTAGTTTTCAATGAAATTAAGGACATGTTTCGTCCTATTTGATATTAGTTAGCTTAATGTATACGTTATCTATAGTTTAACATACTGTTAGGACCAGAGAAACATAATGAATGGTAACTTTGGGATCCTTTTATGGACCAATACTAAACGTTTATTTTTATCGCAAAATTGTTAAATAACTAAACTATTCATATTCATATTCCTGTAATTTTATAAACTTTATTTTGACCTATGAACCATTATTATACGTTTTACCATTCTTGAATTATGCCCTGTCTATTAGTCAATGCCTCCCACATTCACAGCCACATCTGACCAAATTTTGTACAAAATGTTATTTTCTATTTTATGCTACGTTGTGGTTTGTTTGATTGGTATATAAACTCACTATGTTGAGATTGGTGTTCTGGACTCAACTGGCTGGACTAGGCGGAAAGCAGGGCAAATCAAGACTCTAGACTGCTCGCAAGTGTTTTACGCATCTCTGATCCGATCGTTAAGTCACTGCCCTCTAATGGGCGGTCACAAGTTATAACACATATCTCCCACCTTCTCTTAAAATCTTTCAAGTGATTAATGACATAACCTTAAATGTCTGTAGTCCAATGCATATTACCCATGGAGTTCATTTGTGATAACCTCGAAAATGAAATTCAATGTATTGTTTTTCAGTCAGTGAAAAATATAGACTGATAATAATAATAAATGCAAATATCGTTTATTTATGAGGTGTGATCTCAAAACTTCAGTCTGAATATCAAAATTTATGAAAGTTTGTTTTGTATGATTAGATTTGTATTCATTTAGTCAGATAGTTACAATTTCAAAATTTCCAACTGCATAAATACACTTAATCGAGTTCAACGATACCAAATGATCCATGCTCAATTCAGTAATTCCCAATTTTCAGTTTAGGAGTTGTGGAGATTGTTAGATTTTTGATTGAGATCATGAACCGATTGATGTTAGACCACCACTGAAAACCTGGAAGCACTGGACAGCCGTTTCGTCCTAGTATGGGACTCCTCAGCAGTGCGCGGGACTCGAATCCCGCGGGGTGCGGGTTCGTGGATGCGCACTGCTGAGGAGTCCCATACTAGGACGAAACGGCCGTCCAGTGCTTACAGCATTCCCATGGTGGTTCAGCTTCAATTGACTCATGATTTCAACATGTGGAATTTCCTAAAATCTCCACAAAACTCATTCTGATATAGATTAATTCAGCGAAGAGTTCTCTTTTCAGTGAATTCATTTTGAAAGCTATACAATCGTAAATACATATACTTATTATAACAGAATGATAATAATACTGATAATCAACTTGTTATACATGGTGACCGTGTGGTTAAATAAACAAAGTTATTAAAAATTCTTTAAAAAACAAAGAAAGTTTAATAATCGTTTGATTGTTAATGGCTTAAGTATTTATCAAAGGATAGATAGGGAAATTATCATTGGGATAGGATAGCTCAGCATGATAAGATAAATGTTGAAATTGAAATGAAATGTAATGAGGATGATCGTGGGAACAAAATGAAGCAGTTGGGAGTAGAAAATTTAAGAGGGAGATGGAGGGTGAAGCAGATGGTTGTAAAGGAAGAAGAGTATGAAGAAAGGAGGAAGAAGAAAGGAAGGCTTCATGTTCTTATCAATGAAAAGGAAAATTAATAATAACACTCGTAACAAGAATATGACGAATTTGTAGTCACGAATTCATAGATGAAGAATTGGGTCACTTGAAAGAGATACTTAATAAAAACGGATATCCTTCGATATTCATTGATAAGATCATGAATCCGAAAGCACCGAAAACACAGATAACTACAGTAGTAAAAAAAATTTATGCATGAACATCGAATTTAAGGTTGACAGAGCCACACACACACCCTATAAAAGAGAGTTTCCGATTCTTTAAAAAGAACATTTTCCGCAACAACATTAGGAATTCTTCACCAATAATCTTAAAGATGAATTATCCCATCTGACCAATTAATTGTGCATTTATCAACTTACCTGCTCATGTGAAGCTAGGTATATAGGTCGTTTGATGCGTACTTTATCCAAAAGAACTCAAGAACATTGTCCGGCATGGCTAAAAAGAGGAGGAAGCGGCTCAATAAGAAGCTCAGCTATCGAGCACCTTGTTAACACAGGTCACTCAATCAAGACAGACTGCATTCAACGTCATCTACAAGGTAAGTAGAAGCCTCTCAAAAACAATTAGACTGCATCTTCTTTGCATTGCCAAAGCATTAGCCATACAACTGGAAAGACAAGAATTGTGTGTGCAAAAGCGACTGGTACAACCTCTTCTCTTACCATGGTCCTGATGTCGTATACATTTTTATTTTTTATTTTTCTCTTTCTTCATACTCTTCTTCCTTTACAACCATCTGCTTCACCCTCCATCTCCCTCTTAAATTTTCTACTCCCAACTGCTTCATTTTGTTCCCACGATCATCCTCATTACATTTCATTTCAATTTCAACATTTATCTTATCATGCTGAGCTATCCTATCCCAATGATAATTTCCCTATCTATCCTTTGATAAATACTTAAGCCATTAACAATCAAACGATTATTAAACTTTCTTTGTTTTTTAAAGAATTTTTTAATAACTTTGTTTATTTAACCACACGGTCACCATGTATAACAAGTTGATTATCAGTATTATTATCATTCTGTTATAATAAGTGTATATATATACGATTGTATAGCTTCGCTGAACTAATCTTTCTTAATTTTGACATTATAGCTGATGTCAGTTCGCGATGAAAACCTTAAATCTAATTCTTAATCATAATCATAAACTGTAAATCATAATTCCAATTCCTCACATAGGTTTATAACTCTCATTTGTTCCTGGTTATTAGGAGCACACTCTCAAGATCAGTCTGGTGTCGCTCAAATGTCGTCTATAAATTATAGTCTCACAACTATAATTGTTAGTCATCACGATGATAAGAAGTGAACCATAAAGAATAAAGGGTTTTACGTCTTTCAGACATTCAAAAGCATGACAGTGTCACATCAACTAAATGAACAATGAGCAGTGAATTTCAATGTTTCAAACATTATTTAATGAGATGGATTCTCCAGTAGCTCATTCCTTCTCATTTGAAGAGATGTTAGTATCATGGAAACAGTTTATTTTTAAAACCAGTGAAGATATGTTAGTACGTAGAACTTGTTTATTTCATGAAACTTGAAGTACAATTAAAATTAATAATGTCACCTTGATGACAACTTGAGTTTTGAACAACTTCATCGATTGGACTGTTTAAACATTTACGTTATGGACTAATCTATATGATTCACGACAATTCGTGTAACCGCAGAGATTCCCTTCACACTCATAACTTTTATTTTCCACTACATTTGTAAATAATCGATGTTCCATGTGACGAATGAACGACTCATTTCAGTCATCAGCATCATCAAACTATTCACACATCTATCTATCCACATATCTATTAATCACCAAGTAAGTGGTCAGTTTATCAAAGTTCAAGTAACTTCACTCAGTGTTTGTTCTCATCAAACTTACGTAATAAAACATTTTCATATCCAACTAAACCACTCTCAAATGATCTCGACCTTTGATAGCGATCACAATGGCATCATTCTTTCAAAAAGTTTCTCGTGAATACAATTTTCAGTTTAATATATGTAACTTTGTTGGCATTCGGTTACGCCGGATGTTACTAATTGAATTTTATGAAGAGGAAATCAATAAGATACTTTGATCGTGTATTACGTTTTAAACTTATAATCGAGAAAATCTACGAGAATGTAAAATGTGCGTGGCAATTCCTTCACTTTTTCTTTACTTAATGTAATGATTAATCAATGAACAAACAGGAAGAAACGTACGAGTGAGTGACCAATAAATTCGAGGATAACCGAACCAGACTGAGAATCAGTGAACTATTGAGACCAAGAAAATAATACCATTTGAGCACAAAATCATGAAATCGATCATTGTGTTGGAATAAATTCAAACGATCATGGTTTTCAGTTGTTGAGTGGTCTGAGTCCTATGAATTGCTGTTATAGTCAATGTGATATAACACATTCACATCACCATTGAATTCATGTGTGTACTAGATGTTTTAGTAACCTACTGAATACTATGTATTGTATTTAGACCAACCGATTTCAACAAGGAATAATATAGGTCTAATATCGATTTCGAAGATTTTGTGTGTGGAAATTCCTCCATATTTACATATGTAATTTATTTCTATTGATTCCTTCAGTTGTACGTTCGGTCAGTCGTTTTGATTCCATTTGAGATGGTGATATTTGTATTTTTCTGTAGTTTTTGTTTTCCTTTCACCTTCACTGCGTTCTCACGTTTCTTTATGAGTTATATTTAGGTTGT